CTGCGTGTGATGGTAGCTGTGGCTAGGATGAACGTGGCTGAATATGAGCCAGCAGTGTGCCCAGGTGGCCAAGGTGGCCAGCAGCATCCTGGCCTGTATCAGAAACAGCAGGCCAGCAGGACATGGGAAGTGATAGTCCCCCTGTCCTCGGCACTAGTGAGGCCCCACCTTGAGTGCTGTGTCCAGTTTTGGGCCCCTCATGACAAGAAGGATGTCGAGGTGCTGGAGCGAGCCCAGAGAATGGCAACAAAGATTCTGGAGAACAAGTGTTAGTAGAAGCAGCTGAGGGAGCTGGGGTTATTCAGCCTGGAGAAGAACAGGCTGAGGGGAGACCTCCTCGCTCTCTACAACTACCTGAGAGGAGGATGTAGTGAGGTGGGAGTCGATCTCCCAAGTAACAGGTGATAGGACAAGAGGAAATGGCCCCAAGTTGCACCAGGGGAGGTTTACATTGGATATCAGGAAAAGTTTTTACACTGAAAGGGTTATTAAGCATTGGAACAGGCCTCCCAGGGAAGTGGTGGAGTCACCATCCCTGGTGGTATTAAAGACTGGTAGATGTAGAGCTTAGAGATATGGTTTAGTGGTGAATTTTGTCAGTGTGAGGTTGACGGTTGGAATAGATTATTTGAAAGGTCCCTTCCAGCCCAGGCAATTCTATGACTCTAGGAACCACCAGCTCAGTACATGCTTGCACCCTTGCAGTAACGTGCCATGGGGCCAAGGCAGTGGTGACAAGTGCTGCAGAGCTGGTGGACCCCCATGACCACGCAACAACCTCACCTTCCTCCTGTGCAAAGGACTTAACTGGCTTCTCCCCTTCCTCTGCCCACGTTGACTGGATTTGGAACAGACCGAGTGCCCTGGAGGCTTTTTGAACAGCTGCAGATCCCAAAAGGGATTTTTGTTCCTGTATTAAATATAAACCTGGAAGAGCCACTGGCATGACTGTTTGCATTCGAAGCACAGCTCCACCCCTAGACGTGCAGCAAATGGTTTCTGAATCATCCCCTGGGAGCAGGTCAGGGCTGTCGGGGTGGTGCCTGGGCCAGGGGCATGTGGTGGCTTGCTCTCCTGGAGGCCCACACGCTCAGGCTGGTACCTCAGCTGCTGGGTGACTGGGGACAGCTGGGCTTCTTGTGAAACATGCCAATGCTCAGCACTTGCCAAAACAGCTATTTGGGAGCAGCTTCGTGTGCTCTCCCTCCTCTCCTGGCCCTGTCCTCAGCGTGGTTAAATTCATTAAGTACAGCACTCCCTTTTCCAGGGGTGGAAGAGGAACTTTTCAGCCAGAGCTTGGTGGGGTTGCTCCATCTTACAGTAATCCATGATGTTCAGCTGAGACTCCTCGGCATCCCCACTTGGGGATAGATGATGATCCTTTCCTCTGATTGCTTCTTGAGTGTATCTGTTTAAGCCCCTTCCAACTTTCCCAGAAGAAACTGTAAATTATTTGTGATCTTATTGGAAAAGAAATGTGGTTTTTTTTTTTTTCTCTGTGGATGGGATCTCAGATATGAACCAAACTCAAACCCAGGAGTATTCCTCGTGTATGGGATCTCAGATATGAACCAAACTCAAACCCAGGAGTATTCTTCCTAAAAACTGCACTGAAGCAGTGTGCCCGGGGAAGTTGTGGATGCCCCATCCCTGGAAGTGTTCAAGGCCAGGCTGGATGGGGCCTTGAACAACCTGCTCTAGTGGGAGGTGTCCCTGCCCATGGCAGGGGGTTGGAACTGGATGATCTTTAAGGTCCCTTCCAACCCTAACCATTCTATGAGTCTATGAAGCAGCATCCAGCTGGTTTGTAGACCTGGTGAAATTAAATTCCCTTGAAATGTGCTTTACAGGTGCCCTTGGAATAGCAAGGAGAGCTACTTTCCCCTTACCACCCCCTGCTTAAAGGCAGGACCTTAAGGGGCCATCGCCTGAGGCTGCAGTTGTGAAGAGTCCCCCTTCCACTCAGAAATGATGTCCTGGTTTTTACTTTCATGGAAAAAATTGCTTTCATCAACTTTGTGGTGCTGGTACCAACAAACGCTAAGGACCCATTTCCTAGCCTGTTTTTCCATCTCTGGCCTTAAATTTTGCTCTCTTGGAAACAGGTGGGATGTTACTGACCTCACTTGTGAAGCATCTGAGATGACTGGCAGATGAAAAATTAGAAAAACGGGGAAGATACGGTTATCAATAATACAACAGGAGGGGGGTTTTATTGCCATACTTTTAATGAAATTGCAGTAGGATTTTTATACAAATCTCTGAAAGTCTATGACTTCAAATAACTCTGAATTTATGGATTTGTCCTCCTGCCTCACTCTTGTTTAAATAGCTGTGACTATTGTCTGCTGGATGTATTATCTGTCCCAGCACACGGGCAGGAGGTACAGACTCCCTTGGAGATCCCACACCTTGCTGGAGCTCCTCAAAATGTCCCTTCTCATCACAGGAGGCCTGCACAGAGCAGCCACAGGGCTCCAGCAGGCTGGGATTCCTGTGGTGTCACCCTCCTGGCTGGTGTAAGAGGGAAGAGTGGGGCCTTTGCCCGTTCTCTCTGCTGGGCACAGTGGGTTATTCATCACGGCGCCCAGCCTTTGCCAATAAAGCTTTTCCTCAGCAGAGGGAGTTGTTTCTCAAGGTAATAAGATAGCCTTATCTGATTGCATTTTTGTCAGGTATGTCCTGTTTATTACCTTACCTGTAATCTCATTTGTAATGCATTTCCCTGATATTTTTCTATATTTCCCCCCCCTATATTTTGTAATAACTTCCCCTGAAATTCTGACCTACAAGAAAGACAGGGTTTTAAATCTAGCTTTGAATGATAACACACACACACACCCCCTCTCCAGGTGCCTTTATCTGGAAAAAGCTCTCCTGGCATGAAGAAAAGTCTGGTAGGAAAAGGTCAGCACCCTCTGCAAACACGTCAGGGGAATGCTGAGGTCACTTCTGCACTGCCAGGAAAGAGCCAGCAGCAACTTTCTACTTGTGGCAAGATGATCATTTTGGGTCAGAAAGCCATTCCTGCTCCAAAGGAGGCAGCAACCAGCCCCTGCCCACAGCTGGCATGGGCATAAGGTAAGAAGACAACTGTAAGCCATGTGAAAAGCCACCACTGATGAGCCTCAGCTGCTGAAAGCTGCTCAGGTGCTTCACCTCAGCTTTCAGAGGAAAGCAAAAAGCACCAATTTGGGGAAATGAGTGACACCTGCTTCCACCTGCAGGTCCCTTCTAGCTCAGGCAGAGACTTCTCACAGTGGCAGAGCTGGAGTGAACGGCCCAGCTACCCCCAGCATGAGGCTGAGGAAGGTTAATTGGTGTGACAAATGATGCACGCTAGAGGAAGAGGTGGCATTTTCAGGCTGGCTTCCCACGCAGTGTCGGGTTGGTGGTTCACCAGGGCTTTCCACTCTATTAGTTTTGCTCCTGCTTGGCTGTACCACCAAAACAAAGTTCAACCTAAGCCTGCCTGCTGGATCCTAGATTTCATCATTCTGGTAAAGGCATTTCAAAGTCAGATGGCCTTAAAACAAAGAAAGAGAAATGTCCCTTTTTGCGGATGCTAATGAAATTTTTATCTGGGCATCTTTCTGTGAATGCTGGGCCTGAGAGGCATGGATTATGTTAGGGGAGAAGGGCTTACCGAGCCCTGGAAATAAATCAGGAGAGGACAGAGGATGAAGATGGCAAATGATAAATTAGCAAGTGACAGAAAACAACTGCAGGAAATAATAAAAACCAGGAGGAGTTGTGTGGGAAATGCATAGGAGAGGTTGTTTACAACGTGTGCATCGGACTTCCCAGCATTTGACATCCTATCTCCAATTCATTCCGTATGTTACTTTATGCGTGGATTCCCGTTTTTATGGGGTTTGTTCTATAGTTTTTGCGCTGACATGAATGACTCACATCTGCTCCAATACTTAATGTATTCTCTAATGTCTTCTGCAAGGGATGGCTCAGCTCGTGCAGTACTTGTCAGTGGCAGGATGGGAAGAGTCAGGCGGGTGAGCAGGGACAGGCTGGGCGAAGCAGCTTTTTTTTCTGGACTCCTTACTCCGTTGGTTATTTTTTTTTTTTTTTTTTCCCCTTAGCAATGTCTGGAATTCCCAATTTGGCTGCCCTGCGTGGACCGGGGCTGTGCGTGGATCCAGCAGGGAAGACTCCACAGGACAGGGATGCTGGCTGAGGGCTATCCCCACAGGACCATGGCCCCGGCCCCGAGCTGCTGCCGGCGTTACCAACAGCTGATGATTATGATTTTATTTTTTAAGTGCTCTTGACAGCTCCGGAGACTCGCGTCTTCTCTTCCACATCCAGTAATTAAATTCCACCTACCTCAATTCCCCCTGCTGTTTCAATTGGATAAATTAATCTTTCCCGTCATGTCTGAGCATCCTCTGGGTGTTGTTGAACGGTGGCCTCCCCTCGCCCCGTCGCCGGATGGGGACCGGGATGAGAACCGGTCCGGGACAACTTCTCGGCGGCGATTCCCGTTCCCGTGTATCCTTTCTCGCTCGGGAAGCGGCCCGGACCCACGCACGGTGCGTGGGAGGGGAGAGAAAAGGGCGTCCCCCTTTACACCCCCCTTCCTCCTCCTCTTCCCCTCCCTTCCAACCGCTGTGCTCGGTGTCCCCGTCCCCGGGTGGCCGCATCCCCGCCGGTCCCGGGGTTGTCCCC